ATAGAAATACAAGTCACCATAATTTAGCATATTAACAAACTAAGAAAGGAAAAACTTGATATTTTACTCATTAGTTTCCTAATGAATATCTGATAAGCTCTCACACCGTTCTGCTCAATATTTTGTTGGAAACAATAGGCAGGAAAATTAGCAAGGAACAGGCACAAATTGTTGGAAAGAAAGAAGTAAGCTGTCTTTATTCACAAATGAATGATTTATCTTTATGGAAAATTCAATGGCAGAATCTTCTAGAGAGCTACTAGAATGATCATGGTAGCCTAGAAATTTTCAGATACAAAAGCCAGTCATGTTCCTTATACTAGCAATGACCGATTATAAATGTAAAATTTTAAAAACAGCATCAAAAATATACAGTGCTTAGAAATAAATTTGAGAAATATGTGAAAGACCTATGTGCTGACACTATAAAACATTACTGAACAAAATTAAAGACTAAAATAAGAAAGAGACTGTTCATCAATCAGGAGTCACTATTGATAAGATGTACATTATCTCCAAAATGACCTACAGATTCAATTCAATCCCAGTAAAAAATCTCAGAAGACTTTTTCACAGTAGAAACTAACAAAATGATTCTAAAATTCACAAACCTATGTTAAGCATCCGTATCAGGATTCTAAAATTCACAAATGTATGCACAAAATTGGAGAATTTGTACTATATGATTTAAAAGATTAAGGCTACACTAATCAAAACAACATGGTTTGTATAAAAATAGAAAATATAAATAGTAGAACTGCATAAAACCCCCCAAAGCATCCACACATTTCTGGATTGACCCTTGACAAAATTACAAAGTGGCATGATGGAGAAAAGCGGTCTTTTCCAAAAATGATGGTAGAATACTTAGGCACAGAGAGAGAGAGACAGACAGACACACACACACACACACACACACACACACACACAGTGATCTGTACTTGTACAACATAGAAAAATTGACTGGAAAAGGTAACATATTTGTTAATTTGATCAGACATTAACTCTGATGTCACTTTGTTCTTGGATTTCCCAGCCTCCAAAACCATGAGGAAAAAACAAAGGCCACTCTATGCTTTAGCCAGTATCTTGGTCTATGTGGTGCTGCCACAAAAAATAGTTGAGACTCACTAATTTATAAAGAGAAGAAATTTATTTCCTCCATATTCTGGGAGCTGGGAAATCCAAGATTAAAGCATTGGTCTGCTAAGGCCTTCTTACTGCAGTCCTCCAGAGAGGAGGAGCATTGTGCCCTAACAGGGTGAAAGGTGGAAAGATAGTCCTGCCAAACCAGATGTTGTAGGGAGCCTCTTTATAAGATCCTTTATTCATAAAGCCCCTTTTAAAGGCCCTATCTCAATACTATAACCTTGGCAACTGGATTTTGAAGACACTCATTTAAACCATAGCACCCAGACTTGAGTATTACAGCAGTTCAACAGCATAAGAAAATCACCAGGGGCTGGAGAGATGGCTCAGCAGTTAAGAGCAGTGGCTGCTCTCGCAGAGGACCCCGGTTCAGTTTCCAGCACCTACATGGCGGCTAACAACCATCTATAACTCCAGTTATAGATGATCCGACCCCTCCTCTGACCTCCTTGGGCAGTGCACAACACGGGTGCACTTACACACATGCAGGCAACACACTCATAAAATAATTTTTTTTTAATGAATAAAACTTTTTTAAAATTTTTACAAAAGAAAATCTCCGGGACTGGAGAGATGGCTCAGTGGTTAAGAGCACTAACTGCTCTTGCAGAGGACCCAGGTTTGATTTCCAGCACCCACATGGCGGCTACGAACCGTCCTTAACGCCAGTTCCAGGGGAATCCGAAGACCTCCTCTGACCTCCGTGGCATTGCACCACACGGGTGCACTCACATACATGCAGGCAATATACTCGTACACATAAAATATTAAATAAAATATTGAGAAAAAAACAAAATCACCAAACTGTTCAGTGAAACATACCAAACAGGAAGCATTTATGTCTTTCTATTTATATGAGATTCTAGAAAACACAAACTCTCTGGGAACAGTACGCAGATCACTGGTCACCTACAGATAGGGGAGAAAGGGTGAGAGATTACTAGGGCTGAAGAAGCTTTGAGGGCAATAGATATTATTGCTTTGATTTTGCCGATGGCTTCATAGTTGTGTGTGTGTATGTGTGAAACCTTTTCAAAATATGCAGTTTAAATCACAGTTGATTACCACAGTTTAAATGTGCAATTTATTGTATATCAAACTCCAACAGATCTTGTTTTATAAAAAGAAACCTATAAGAAAAAAACAAATAACTGCATAGAATTGGGTAAATGATTTGAGCAGACACTTTAAAAATGAAGGTACAGAAATAGGTACTTCAAACATAAAAACATACTTAATATGATTAGTCATCAAGGAAATAAGTGAAATCATGGTGAGATACTACTTCACACCCACTTGAATGGATAAAAATAAAGGCTGACAACCCAAATGTTGATGACTATGGGAAAGAAAATGAACCCTCACACATTTCTAGTAGGAATGTAAATTGTATAACCACTTTGAAAAGCGTCCTGGCAGTATTAATAAAACATGCAACTACCCAATGATGTGTCAAGTTCCCCCCCGCAGGTGCTTACCTCCCCCAAAAAGAAAGCATATGTTCACATAAAAACATACACATCTATTCATACAGTGAATAATAACCCAAATTGGAAACAGCCCACATCGTAAAATGTTGAATGAATCAACTAGCTCTGATATAGCCATATAATTGAAGAATTACTCAGCAATGAAATATTTCAACAGTGAAGAAGAATCTCAAAACAATATGCTAAATGAAAGAATTCAGACACAAAATAATACATACCATCCAATTCCATTCATATGGAATGGTGATTGCTCAAATAGACAAAAGTTATCTAAGGTGAGAAAATTTACAATAGTGGTTGTCCCTGTGGGATTGTGGTAGAAATGGATTGGAGTGGGATGCACAAGAAATTTCCAGACTCTTCATAATGCTCAGTATCTTGTTAGGAGTTTAGGGAGGGCGTTTGTCAAAACACACTGTGTAGGGAGGGCATTTGGGATTTGTATATTTCACTGAATGCAAATTTTGTGGCACTGGGTCAGCAGTTAACAGCACTTGTAATTCTTGCAAAAGACTAGAGTTCAGTTCCCAGCACCCATATGGCAGCTTCATTGCCCTCTTCTGGCCTCTACAGGCACTGCACACACACACACACACACACACACACACACACACACACAAGTTACACATATATACAGGCAAAACACTTATACACATTAAATAAAAATAAATATTTTTAAAAGAAATAAAAGAACAGTAAATAAATATTGACCTGTAATTAATGCCATGCTTGTCAAAGTACTTAGTGGTGAAGTCTACTGATTGAAACTTATTTTGAATGCATCTGCAAAATAAAAACAATCATAGAGTCAAACAAAAACAACAAATGCTAATTGTAGGCAGCAGACTTTCTACTGTTCAGTATAGTGCAAACTTTTCATAATAAAATGTAAATAAAATAAGAAAAAATGTTACCCAAATAGTAAAATTATTTTAAGAACAAGATGTAGATTGCGATAATTATTGCTAAAATGCTTTAAATGCTAATTAATAAAATGAAAGATAAAACATGTCCCTTAAAATTCACTCAGCATCAGGCTTCACCTGTCTAGTTCCTCTTTTCCCTTGTTACCTGCATTGTAACTTCTTTTTCCTTTGCATGTATACATGTGTATACATTCATGTGTGAGGGTGCATGTGCACGTGTGTACGTGTGTGTGTGTGTGTGTGTGTGTAGGTTAGAGGACAACAGTAGGTGTCATTCCTTAAATGTCATCCACCTTGTTTTTTGAGACAGAGTCTGTCACAGGCCTAGAACTCACCAAGTAGTCCAGACTGGCTGGCCAGCGAGCTCTGGAATCCACATGTCTCCACTTGTTCAGTACTGGGAGTATATGTGCAAGCCAGCACACCCAAATTTCTATGTGGGTTTTGGGGATCAAATCCGGGTCCTCATGCTTGCAAGGCAGGTAGTCTACCAGCTGAGCTATCTCTGCAGTACTTCATTTTACCTTTTGATGCTGGAATATTCTGAGATTGTCTGCATGACAGGTTGTTTGCATTTGCTGTACTTTTATCTGCCGATATTCCACTTTCCCAGAAGTATGCACACAGTCTCTCCAGGACATTCCATACATCACTCTGATGCATATTCTCTGAAGTTCTCATTACTCTTCTTAGGCATTTTGTTGATCTTCGTTTATAAGGAACTAGTTCATCAAGGAACTAGTGTCTTTAAGAAAGCAGTAAATTGTGTCCCTAAGGATGTATCATACAGAGCAGTAATAGGTTGTAGAAGGTTGACCAAAAAGCCATCTTGAACTAAGAAATTTTGCAGCATCCCTGAACCAAGGATCTTGTTTGGATGAATCACAGTATTACTGCTCTTCTGAAATTCAGGCTAGTAGTTACTTTTGGCTGTAGCCGTAACACATACATGGGAGGTGTGATGTGCCAAATGTGTGATCCTTAGGACAAGGATGATGATCTGTTTTGCTTGCAGTTGTATTCTTGGTATCTGACACAGTAAGGTCTTACACATTACTTTATGAGGCGTTTCAACCCCTGCAATGACACGCTCCTGCACTGTCTTGATGCTGCTCTTCTAGTCCTTCCATCATCCTGAAGGGCCCTGGAGGAGGAAGAGATCTTGTCAAATCCTTCATTGCCTCCATCTCCTAGTCCATTCATTCTTCATTCCCTTTTACATTCATTACATGCTTATTCATTGCATCACCCAGGATCTTGACCAGGCCTTCTGCTCTACAAGGTCTCACTTGGCACACCTCCTCTCTTCGACCCTCCCCTCAGACCCGCCCCCTCCCTCCCCGCCCCCGTTTTAGGCCAATCGGAGCCAACATACCGGGCGGGGCTGAGGCTGGGGCGGGGCCTCGCTCCCTCAGTACCCCTGGCAGAGCCCCCAGCTCCGGAAACGCTCGGCGGGGCTGCTGGGCTCAGCCGGGCGCTGGCGGCTCCGTGGCGCTTCCTGCCACGCCGGGCCTCTACGCCGCGCCAGCTCCGCTTCGAGCGAGCGTCAGCCGTCACCCGGGTTGGGTGAGCTTGCGGACCGCGGGAGGGACGTGCAGGTCCAGTGGTCGCGAGGGAGGCAGAGGGATGAGCGGGCCTGAGTGAGCTTGGCAGCTGGAGTACGTGCTGGGGGCCTGACTGTGGGAACCGCAGGGAAGTATACGGGGAGGGGGCGTCTCGGCGCCTGGGAACTGCTCGGTCTGGAGGCAAACCAGAGGCCACAGGGGACAGGTCCCTGATGGCGGGTACGGTGAGGCCCCAAGGCCTTCTTTTGGAGGGCAGGGGGCGGCAGTTAAAGGCGGGAATTGAGGATGTGTGGAGGACTGTACTGCGCTTTGGAGGATGCTAAGGGACGGGAACTGGTCAGGAGCTGAAAGAGGACACAAACACAGCCCCAAGCGACATGGAGGCCGTGGGGAGGGGCGTAGAGGGGAAGGGCAGAAGACACTTTTTCCCACTGTTGGGGGGAAGGGTTGAGTCTCTAAGGCCCTGGAGACGGTTCCTGCAGGGGAGACCTTCTTTCCCATTTGGGTGGGAGTCACGCGGGAAGAATGGGAGCAGATATGTAGCCTATGTGTTCTTACTGGACGAAAAAACCTTGGGCCCTTTATCTTAAGACAGCTTTTACTCTCGCCCTCCAGGGGGCCACAGTCTCCGGTGCCACTCCATTGCCCCCTCCTCCTAAACTCCTTTACTGGTTTCTCCAGACTATACTTAGCAATTAATTACATGTCTTTTTACATACCCGCATACTCCCACTCACCCGCTGCCTAAAGCCCATGGTCCTTTTCAAAGGCTATTCCTGGCTCTCTTCCCGGAGGGCTCACCCTATGCCAACTGACACCCTCAAGCCAGCATTGGCCTTGCCAGGCACGCAGCCCCCTCCAGTCTCCTTGATCAATAGAACATTTCCTTTTCATCCTCAGCCCCTACATTTTCCTTTAGAAGAGGATTTCAGATGGGATGAGTGGAACAGCACCTCCCCTAGTTAGGACCCCTTGCCTCACCCCTTCTCCCACTGAACCTTTCCTTAAAAGCAGCATGCACAGTGTTTGGCACAGTCTGGTGCATTCCCCCCAAATGGTCCTGGATATAAATTTGGAATCCCATGAAGCAGTGATTTCTAACCTTCTGGAGATAAGAGACCCTTTGGAAATCTAAAAATGTGTGAATTCTTCAAAAATGTGACCAGCAGGATAGCTTCAACGGACTGCCATCTCAAGAACCTTGCCCCTGGGCTAGAACCCTGTCTGATGAGACAGATGAGAGAGGCTTCAGACTCTCTACACAACCCCAGTGTCTGCATGTTAAAAAATGCAGATTCCTTGGCACCCACCCACACCTGCTGCTCTGCCTCTACAATTTTCACTAAACTCCAAAACCAACTTTCTAACCCAGTGATTCAGCGCATCCAAAACTGCCTGGGTTCTTTGCATGACCCAGGGCAGCTGAATGAGATCCTACTACACCCCCCAGTTTAGAATCTTTCGTATCTAGGCAATATCACCTCAATGAGTCTATGCTTACAATTTATTTTGATTTTTAAAAAGATGCATCTTTTTGGAGAAATGGGGACATAAACCTTTCCTCAACTGAGTACAACAAACACTACAAAATCCCCTTCTGGGCTACCTTCTGGCTTTTTATAGATGAGAAAGAAGATGGAAACCTAAACAGAGAGAGGCAGGTGCCCGGGTAAAGTGAGAGAGGAAACAGATGCCTTCCCACCCACACATACAGAAAAAGACACACACAGACACAAATATACCAAGAGAAACAGACTTTCCTGGTGAGACAGTCATCCCTTTTAGCCCTTTTAGGATTCTGCTCCTTTTGAGTAGCATCCATATTACACAGTAGAGGATGGGCCTAAAACGGGCCTCCATGTCCACCTCCTGGCCTGCCAGATTCATTCAGGGAACACAAAGGCCAAGAACAGCTGCAGTCCTGGGACCCACTCAGTATTTACACCCTGGCCTCAAATGGGGCACATTCGGACCTTGGGAGCACGGGTTCGGTCACAAAGCTTATCCTTCCATTGAGCACTTTAACTATCAAGAAGACAGGTTCCTGGAAGGTACACATATGAACCTGCTTCTGTTCACTCAGGTTATTTCAATCCAATAGGTGGGATCTTCCCCATAGAACTAATCACTTGGAACTGTTCTGAGACAAGATGAGTCATCCCTGTATGTCTCTTTTGGGTAAGTCTGGGTGTTTGTGAACTTTTTCTGATGGCCTTAAAGCAAGCAATGCTGTTAGAAGGCCGGTGAGTCGGGGTACAAGATAGTGAAAAAGTGTTTGGGATCTGGAACCTCGTGTGCTAGTGTTGAGGAACTGCCCACCCAGAAACAGTTCTAGCAATTTTAGACACACAGTTCCAAGGAGATAAGGTGCCTGGCATAGGGGGCTGGGGAGTCCAGGAGGTCACTGGGTAGGAGAGGGGGCTGAAGACATCCTCTGGGACCAGGCTCTTGTGAGTGTTCATAACTCCCCGGCCAGGAAGTGAACTGAACAGCACAAGTCACCTGTGGTCCTGAGTAGACTCAAGCTTTGTGGCCTGAAGACATTCCTATTGCAGATTTTATGTAGATACTTGAGGAAGTCTAGATGTTTGGGGCATCTCTAGAAGCTTCCTGAAGCTTCCAGGTGGGTCTTGTTTGGGTGGCCTTGTGGCCTCTCCCCTGCCCTGCTGCCAGAGAAGGACAGTATCTGTCCATGGAGGTTGTTTGACTATTTCTGTCTGCAACAGTATCAGTTGAAGGCTGGTCTTTTGGACTCAAATATTACCTTTAGTGATGGTAGCCAGACATCCTCAGGACATCCTAAGCTCAAGGGGAACAAATGACACATTATTCAGTCGATTTTATGAGGGATGCTGTATGTCTCTGTTGAGTTCAATTCTCAGTTTCTGTTCTTTCAGGTAAAAATGAAATTGTTATTTTTAGGGTCCCTTAGTGTTTGTAATTCATGTCATAAATTCAAATAAGTTGGTTTGTCAAAAGTTAATAATGTGGCTGAATAAAACTCTGCTGTGTCTATATACCCCATTTTCCATATTTTTTTCATCTGTTGATGGACACCCAGACTGATTGTGTAACTTGGCTATTGTGAATAGTACTGCAGTAAATATATGTGGAACATTGATGACTATATGCCAATAATTTTTAAAATTTTGCACATGAGTTCTGGTGTTTTAGAACACACAGTTGCCCAACAGTGCAGTCGATACACCATTGCTGTCTGTGTATTCTAGCAGCAGATGTTTGTTAAACAGCTGCAGCATACATGGACTTGGCTAGGCCTGATATAGAATTTGCAGTTAACCTTGACAAAGGTTTTGTGCTCTGGGCATGGATAGTCTTGCTTCCTTTATGTCTCATTTAAAGAATGACTGTTGTTTGCCTTAAAAGCCAGAGATTTACTTTCCCACAGTGCTTTTCTGAGCTTGCTTTCACAGTTCTAAGCACCGTATGAGATGCTTCAGGATTCAGGGTATGCTTTTCTGCTGTGAATTAAAGTGCCTTATGTTCAAGGTCAGCATTTCCCTCTGTGTCCATTGGGTGCACTACAATGATTTTCATGTTCTGTCTGGGATTTCTTTGACCTTGATCTCCAAAGATCCATCTCAGAAGGCAATGGACACCTGCAACTGTCACTTTTGTCGCAGAATCCAGCTTCTTTCCAGATTAGTTCCACCACTTAAAAGTAGAACAGTTGCACAACATGCACACTAAGTGATTCAGTTGTCTTCAGGATTGGTGGTTATTTTATTTTTAACTGCAGTACAGATTGCTGTATGTTATCTTTTTTTTTTAACAATTTTCCTTTACTTCTGAAGGTCTTTTACCTGATATGCTTAGCTAATTGTGCATAGTTTAGCTTCCTTTTGTGAAAGTATGGCCCACTTTTTCCCTCTCTTTTTTATGAGCACCGTCCCTTCTGAACTAGCTCTGTGTTCAAGTGCTCTGTTACTACGGGTGACCATCACAAAATCTCCCAGAGCTGAAGTACTCTCAAGTCAAATCCTCAGGGTGAGCTAGTACAGGAAAGATCATTCCTATTGCTATGTAGGAAAGGATAATTAACAATTCTTTGGGGGGCTGTAGCAGTTAATCATGCCAATTAAGTAAAAACACTTCAGTAGGATTTGCTCAATTAAAGGTGGATGGTTTGGAAGAACTCTGCTTGAGTGTGCACGTGTCCGAGAGAGGGGGGGAGGGGGAGGGGGAGGGAGAGGGAGAGGGAGAGGGAGAGAACACATGCATATGAGAAAGAAAAAGAGAAAAAAGAATAATGTGTGTATTTATGCAGTGAGGCTCTGCAATAGCAGATGTGATAATTCAAAGGCGGCTCCCAAACAACCATCCAAACCACGGGGCTCCCACAGTGTTCACTATCAACTGATCTTCTAGTTATGGTATTTCTGGTGTGACTGGAAAAGTCTCAAATTTGGGGAGCTGGACCTTAAGCAAGTCATTTAACCTCGAGGATCCATGGTTTTCTTCTCTGGAAATTAGCAATGATAGTAAGCGGTTCTAGGTTGTGATAATGAAATTATATGATAGGAGACACACAGCTCCAAATATGTGTCCTGCATGCTCCAGAAGTAGAAATTTGCTCCGTTTAACACACCACTCTGGCTCACATTGATTCAGTTGTTCCACAATATATCATGTCCTACTTGGTGCCAGGAGCTGCTGCAGATACTGGGGGTTTGGAAGTAACCGACAGAGAAAAGGCCCTGTCCTATTGGGGCAGATTATTTTTTACTGAGAAAAACCAGCCACTTCATAGAATTTTTTTAGTGAAAATGTTTGGAGGACACTGTGCTAGGGTTTATTATAAAGATGTTTTAAGGAAAGGACATTTAAGACCTGAATTATTAGAAGGAGCCGCCTGTGGTAAGAAATGGTATTCTTGGCAGGTTCACAGGCTTTGAGGGCCACAGCCTTGGCATATCTATATCTGCATGAAGGCCATTGTGTCTGGATGGGGTGATTTTGATGGTGTGGGGTGGGGGCAGGGTATCCAATTATATGCTCGGCAAGGGCTTGGTGCTGGCTTGAAGAGCACTAGAAAAGGTTTAGAACACGTCATTTTTTTCCAGAGGCACATGTATGACGTGGTACCCTCTCTCCATTTCATTTGGCTTCCACACATCAGTGTCAATTGGAAGTATTTTTTTTAAAGAATCATATAAGAAATTTATGCACATGTCATTGTGCATGGGAGACTGAGCTTTGTATAGGAAGCCAAAATCAAACTAGACATTGAATGTATACTGGAAAGAATCCATCAGGCCAGAGGAGCCTTGCTTTGGTGACAGTGGGACCCGGAGAGGATTTATCCACTGAATATTTGGGGATTAAACTCAAACATTTGGGGAAGCACTTATGCTGTACAGTCAGCTGAAAATGGAAAGGAGGACTTGCAAGAACTTTGTGGTCACACTAGGCCTTCTGCCCCCACCTTTCCATGGGGCTGATAGTTTGGGGGAAAGGAGCCCAAAGACTTTTAGACTTTCTGGTCAACCCATCGCTCCCTTCACAGACTGCCCATAGATTCCCACCAGTCCTTCTCCCTTCTGCCTGCTTTGTACATATGGCTATCCCAGGAAGTGCTAGTCTTGTGACTTCACCTCAGGGACCATTCTCCTGTTGTTTCCTTGGTCTCAGCCCTGTTCCCTTGCATACTGAGCATCTATCTTATCCCAAGTCTACCAAAGTCATTTAAAATTATTCTTTTCTGATACCAATGAAATTTAACTTGGTGTTTAAAAAGTCACACATTAAAGAAACAGAAAATACATCTTCCTAGATCTTGGTTCTCTTCCTGTGGCTACACAAACATTGACGTAGTGCACTTATTCCTGGGACAGATCCCTCTCAAATATTTTCCTTCTTTAAAAAATTATAGTATATGCTTTTTGTCTTCTCCTCTTCCGTTTTCTTCTTTGGGTTTTCAATCAAAAGTTATCTCTAACTTATATCTTCTATAAAGAATCGGCATTTTTAAAAATCTGCTATAGGTCATCTCACACTGGCCACCTGTTGATATTACACTGAAACCTACAAGTTTACTTCTTGTTCTGAGTTCTAGGACTCTTCACAAGAATCTTCAGAATTCTGAGCCACCTTGGTCATACACCCTCTCCCCACATACATTTTTAAGACATTGGGATTAGATTCTTCCTGTTGGTTACAGAATAGTATTTTCTATGCTTTTACTTTTAACATATCTGTGTCCTTAAAGCTTTTTTAGACAGTACATAGTCATTTGTTAAATACAGTCTAACAATCTCTGCCTTTTGATTGCTTAGTCCATTTATATTTAGTTTAATTATTCGTGTGATAGAGTTTTAGTTTACCATCCTCCTGCTTATTTATGTTTAGCCCATCTATTCTTTTTTCCTTTCCTTTGGAATGCTAGTATTCACAACATATGTTTGGCCTCTGCATGTTTAAAAAATTCCACAATACCTTATTACTATGTTTTTCTTGCAATGGCCAGTTAAATTTTAAAGACTTTAAAATGAGAAAGGCAAAGTCTTATATTTTCCCACGACGTTGCATTCCTAGTATTCTTTATGCCTCTGTGTAAATCCAAGTTTCCATCTGGTTTCATTTTCCTTCCACCTGAAAAACTTCCTTTGGTATTTCTTATGGGACAGATCTGCTGATGACAAATTGGTCTGGCTTTTGTCTAAAAAATTATTTCTCCTTCATTTTTGAACAATATTCTCCCTGAATATGGAATTCTTAGTTGACCGTTTTTTGTTGTTGTTGTTGTTGTTGTTGTTGTTGTTCTTTAGTACTTAAAAATATTCGATTGTTTTCTAGCTTACAGATGACAAATTGGTCTGGCTTTTGTCTAAAAAATTATTTCTCCTTCATTTTTGAACAATATTCTCCCTGAATATGGAATTCTTAGTTGACCGTTTTTTGTTGTTGTTGTTGTTGTTGTTGTTGTTGTTCTTTAGTACTTAAAAATATTCGATTGTTTTCTAGCTTACATGTTTTCCCACAAGTCACTGACTTCTTACTTTTGTTTCTCTGTACACGCCATCATTTCTTTCTTCCAGCTGCTCTTAGGATTTTTCATCTTATCATTGGTTTTCAGAAATATACTTATGGCAGCTTTCTCTCTGAGCTTCATTTTAGATTACTTCTATTGCAGTCTTCAACTTCTCTATTTTGTAATATCTAATCTGCTAATCAAACCCAATGAAATTTTAATATATTTATCTATAAAAATTTCATTTTATTATTTTCATATCTTCTACTTCCCTTTGTGTCCCTGTTTTCTTTCAATACTAGGACATAGTGATCTTTTTCCCTTTTCTGTGAGTTCTGTTAGTCATTTCTGGATGCTTCTATTGTCTGATTCTTCTTCCTACCATAGGTCATATTTTTGTGTTCCTTAGCAATTCAATAATTGTTACTGGATTTTGGACATTGTTTTGTTGAATGTCCAGACTTCGGGAATTATGAGTAGCTATTTATAGATCAGTTTGATGCCTTAAGGCCTATATTTAAGCTTCGTAGGGCAGATCTCTTGTAGCTTTGGCTCTAAGATAGACTAATCTTCCCATTTAGGCACAGTCCTGTATTCACTACTGAATGATCAGAACTTGAACATCTCCCTACCTTTGTGTGTCCTGGGAAATGTTCTGTCTACAGCCCTAGGGAGTTTCATTCTATGCTTACAGTCAGAAGAGGCTCAAAGGAGGGCTTAAGCGCATCTTTTCCACCTCATTTTTTTCAACATAGTACAATGCTTTCTGAACTCTACTCTCCAACCTCCGCCTTCCCCTACCACGCTGAACTATGTCCTGTGGAGTTGCTAGTGAAGCTTTGGTTTGGTTTGGTTTGGTTTCATCCTCCCTATACTCAGTCTGGACATTGCTTCTAGGCAGAGAGCTAGAGCAATAACAGGACTCATTTCATTTGTTTCTGTCCTGGATCATGATCCTGTCTGTGGTTCCTACTGTCCCAGTATCTAAAAACTATTGTTGCACATGGGTTTTCAACTTGTTTGTGGCAGGATATAACATCTGTTCCTTGTTACCCCATCATGGCCATACGTGGAAGTTTCCATTCATCTCTTCTAACATACTATATTTAAATCTTCCTGGAGTGTCTAGGTTTTGTAGTCAACATGCTTCCTTTTCACTTAGTCATGACTAAATTGAGTTGACATCAGAACATGACCTATGTGGCTATTTCTTTGACCTTACCACAGTGGGAGTACACAGACAGATGACTGATACACAGACATCTATGGTAAATTCTTACACTATCTCACTTATTTTGCAATGTGGAAGAAAAAGATAACTTGTCTATATTATTCAAATCTTTATTTTAGCAACATAATGTTTGAAGAGCCGTTCTTAGAGACTTTTTTCTCCTGCTGTTTTTTCAACTTTCTATTTTGTTGAATAATGTAAAGAGGAGCTGTCATGTACAACTGACTTTTTCACCTGGTGAACGGTTAAAGTATGGTATGTTTGAAAAGACCTCCCCTCGTAAAGAAGCGCAGGTTCCTGCTCTTTGTTGCCTCTTTCCTTTCAGTGACTTCATCAGTTTCATGAAGCTAGAATCTGTGAATCAGTTCTTCTAGTGTTCTCTTTAGTGTGCTTCCTCACCTCATCCAGGCTTTCTGAAAGGGAGCCCTGTGGTGAGCCAGTGTCTGGAAGCTGGTCTCCCTGCTACTGGCTCTCTGTGGCTCTCTTTGGGTGTACCTGGGCTAGCATTCTTATTTTGGCTACCTCTAGCCTACCTATATTGATTCTTTGCCAGTCTACTTTCCTACTATTTCAGACATACTTTCTCACACATACCCATGCTCAGCCTTATCATTCAGCCAGCCTGGGAGAGAAGACTCTGTAAGATTCAAAACTAGGGAATAGGACACCACCAATCTCATCCCAGGGGACTAAGAAATGGAACTGTTGTCACTCACAACTTTTTTCACTTTCCTTAGCTCCACCTGCTCCCCAAGGTCTTGCCCTTCCCCAGGATGGAGCCCCAGGAAACCAGGTCCTGGCAGTTCCTCTTGAGATGCCGGAGGCCCAGGTGAGCTATGTATCCCTCTTGCCTTGCCTGAGATTTTGTCACTGCTCCCTGATTTTGGCCTCAGCCTCAGCCTCTTGTCCAGCATGACATGCAGCAGGGTATGAACTCTGGCTGCTGCCTTCCTTCCTGCCCTCTGCTTTTCTCCCACAGGCTACCAAGGACTGGATACCCATTGTGCTTGTAATTCCCATTGTATAAGTGGGATAGCTGAGTTTGTGTCCTGGGAAGACAGTGGGAGGCCCAGGCCCAGGCAGCCCAGGTCTCCTTGTGTTTGCTCATGTTCTTTTTCCGTGACTCCTTGGTAATTGCAGTTGGATGTCCACATTGCCAATATACACACATACACATGCTTCAGCCCCTGACCTCTTCCCCTGGCATGGTTGGTACCACACTTGTGATAGATAAACAGACTGATTATCACTGGGATTTCTTTCAGGATTTGGTGCCCTTTGATATTGTACCTTGGCACCTTACAAAAAGGGAGTGGCTGAGTCTGAGCCCAGAGCAGCAGACACTGGCATATCCCGGGACTGTGACCTCCATTGGTAAGAGTGCCCCTAGCACTTCTCAGACCATTTACTGGAGTGGAGTGACCACCCCCACCCAACCTCACTTTGCCCCTTGATTGTTGAGAACCTGCAATACTAGTTCTCCCAGTTCCTCCTGGCACAGAAAGATCTTCTCTCCCATCTTGCAGTGGAAAGAAATTAGAACAGGGGTCAACAAGATGACTGAGCAAGGAAAGGTACTTGTCACCAAGCCTGAAGACTTATGTTCAATCTCCAGACCCTATATAGTGGAAGGAGAGACTTGATTCATACAAATTGTCCTCTGACCTCTATGAGTGCCCAACATCATGCCCATACTTACACACATACACATAAACACACAATAATTAATTAATTAAATGTAAAAATAGAACAAACCTGTTATGATAATTTCGAATACTTTTTAACATACTGTGTTCAGATAAAGAATGTATCAGATATTAAACTATTAAGAACTGATACTACATTTTATCTTAACCATAAAGCTGAGAAGCGAGTAGAATATTTTTTTAACCTACAGATTATACCAAGTGCACAGCCATCTGAGTGGGTTCACTGTTGAGAGGAATGGGCACAATCAAGCTCTTTTTCATGCATCAGGTGTTTACATATGTGAGGAGGGAGGATTTTTTTTTTAGGAGGAAAGTCTGTTGGAAATTTGGTTTCAGAGTTGTACAGATTCTCAGGTTTGGGAAGAGCATGAAGTTCAGTGGAGGGGTACTAGGGTGTGCATAATGGGGTACGATCAGCTGGGAAAGATGCCACGTGTTGTATCAGTGGAGCTTCCACTAAGAGGGCCCAGCGCCTGCCTTCCTACGGTCCCCAGGAGGCGCTGGCCCTTGGGCAGTGCAGTGGAAGTGCATAGATGACTCACATAATATCACAGGCAGCCCGGGAGATTTGGAAGGATCCCTTTGGAAGGTTTTTCCTCTGCTCCACCATTCTCATACCATCAGTTGCTGCCTCTGTAACGCATTCTCTTTTCCATGAGCAGGAGTTCCTGTTGTGAGTCCTGCTTTCGTTTCTCACGTGGCCCAAGGACAAGTGCTGTTGATATCAGACCCATCCCTCAGTACAGATCACACTAAGTACCCTGGTAAGCATAAATGAAACCTAAGGAAGCATGAGGACATTTGGAGGTGGAGCTCAGGTTAGGATTATAGGAGTATGCTGAGCTCTTGGAGTTGAGGTTCGGGTTAGGAAGATGAGCTTAGTTTGTGGGGTTTAGGATTCAGGTTGAGAGCCCAGCTGAAGCTTTGGGAATGAGTATGGTAGCCATCTTGCTTTACAAGCAGAGGCTTCCTCAGAGGCCCCTTTAATAGGCAGTGGCCAACAATCAGGTCCATCCCTCCGGTGCTTGCTTCTGATGACTTCCAGGCCCTGCTCAGGGTTCAGCAGCTATGGGAGGTAAAGGGGCAAGGATTATGGACAAAGGCGAGTAACCTCGTTCTTCAGCCCTCTGTAGATTGTGTCTGCTATTTATTCTTGCAGAAAGCATCTCTGTAACTTACCACCAGAAGATGGATGAAGAAGCCCAGGCACAAGAGATGGCTTCCATGAGCTCCCCGAGGGCCAGTGACCCCAGCGCTGAGGTCAAACAGAATGGGGACTCTGAGGGAAGGGGAGGGAGCCCACCAAATCTGCCCATAGAACACCATTTTGCATGTAAAGAGTGTGGGGACACCTTCCGGCTTAAAGTGCTCCTTGTTCAGCACCAGAGGGTTCACAGTGAGAAGGGCTGGGAGTGTGGTGATTGCAGGAAGGTCTTCAGGGGGGTGTCAGAGTTTAATGACCACAGGAAGAGCCATGTAGCTGTGGCTGCTGAGCCCCGGCCTGGCCCCAGTTGGGCTCTGGAAGATGCTGTGGAAAAGAGGGAGCAAATGGAGAGGGAGGCGAAGCCCTTTGAGTGTGAGGAGTGCGGGAAGAGGTTTAAGAAGAACGCAGGCCTTAGTCAGCACCTCAGGGTGCACAGCAGAGAGAAGCCCTTTGATTGTGAGGAGTGCGGGCAGTCCTTCAAAGCCAACACCCACCTCTTTCGACATCAGAAGCTCCACACTTCGGAAAAGCCCTTTGCGTGCAAGGCCTGCAGCAGGGATTTCCTGGATCGCCAGGAACTGCTCAAGCACCAGCGGATGCACACAGGCCACCTGCCCTTCGACTGCGATGACTGCGGCAAGTCCTTCCGGGGAGTGACCGGCCTGGCGGAGCACCAGCGCATCCACAGCGGCGCCAAGCCCTATGGCTGTCCCCACTGTGGCAAGCTTTTCCGGAGGAGCTCAGAGCTCACCAAACACCGGAGGATCCACACCGGCGAGAAGCCCTATGAGTGCGGCCAGTGTGGAAAGGCCTTCCGCCAGAGCTCCAGCCTGCTGGAGCACGCGCGCATCCACAGTGGCGAGCGGCCCTATGCGTGCGGCGAGTGCGGCAAGGCCTTCCGCGGGCCGTCCGACCTCATCAAGCACCGGCGCATCCACAGCGGACTGAAGCCCTACGAGTGCGACAAGTGCGGCAAGGCCTTCCGCCGGAGCTCCGGTCTTAGTAGGCACCGGAGGATCCACAGCGGGGCCAGGCGCTGTGAATGCAGCGAGTGCGGCCGTGTGTTCAAGCGGCGCTCGGCGCTGCAGAAGCACCAGCCGTCCCACCGCGAGTAGATATCTTGCCACTCCGAGAGCGATGCCAGGGGTCCACAGAGGCCATGTCCCAGTCAAAGGAGATGAACAGTTTTGTAGCGCTTATCTATTTTATTGTGAATCAGTGAACCAGTTTCTACTGCCACCAGCAATTAAGTATCCATAGTTTCCCATTATGCCCATATTAACATAGCTTGGCTACTTTGCCTGGTAGAAAGTACCATTGAGGTATTTAAATCTCCACGTCTGGAATGAGGGGAGAAATCTGGATGTGGGGAGTCTAAAGAGGGCTGAGAGGTTATCTCCAAGCTCTTCCCCTGAGGGAAACGCAGAAACGTTCAGTGACATCAATATGATGCAGTACTACCTTTCTCAAAAGGAAGATTGCCCCAGGTGTTTGGCCTACTTGAATTTATAAATTTTTAGGGATGTAAATAGAATTCTCAGATATTTGTCCTATAATATTTAATTTATTAATTTAGCTATACATACATATTATAAATCACATATAGAATAATATATTAATTTAGAGAATACTCCATTTGTTATTCGCTCTTCACGTGTATTTTTGACCTCACCATCTTCACCAACATGGGGACCTCTTTGGGTCATCAGCTGGTATTTGAGGACTGTGACAATCCCTGCGTGAGGCTCTCACCAGAAACTTCCTCCCAAGCCATAAGAACACATTCGCCTAATATTAGGACAGTTATTTGTGTGTTTTTAAATTAGTCCTGTAGCTACAACATACCCACTAAAAGTGGTGCTTTTTCAGATGACCTTTAAAAAGGCTTTTTTAAGCATCTCAGACATCACTCTTAGATCACACTTCTAGTAAAACTTACTGGCTTGGGGATAAGCACTTTTGTCTCTGTTTCTTAAGGTAATTCAATCTAGTGACCCCACGCATACCCAAAACAGACATCGGTTGGGGATTGTCCTCACACAGCATCATTGTGTTCGAAAGAAACAGGAGTGACCTCTCCAGGACCCGAGGGTGAAGTGACACCGCCATGTTGGGAGAGCCTATGTTGGTTTTGGGAGTAAATGGTACCTCTCCAACCCTCCATTTGCAGCTGTGAAGTGGCAGTTACAGTACGTACATCCTGAGGTTCTCACGAGGACTGTGCCTTGCCTGCAAGAACACTGCCTCGTTTTGAGGTGCATTTAGTAAAGGTCACTTGCTGTCATCCACAGCTCCTTACTGCCAGAACCCGGGATGATCCCCAGGCCTTCTGACTACTAGTCTTGTCTATCTTTCATGCAATGACTTCAATATGACTTCTGTTTTCTTGCATGCAAATTATATGTTCATCTCCTTTGACTAGTTACCAAGTTACCTTTGGATATATTGACTTTATATACCAGTTCTTTCTATATCAATTGTGATTTCCGATTTTTATTGTTTTGCTTTTTTAGCACTTTTACTACATATTTGTCATACAAGCTTTTCATTTTTACATATCCTTGAATTCTGTTTGTTACTCTTGACTTTCATTGCTTTAGTTCTTAGATATGATGACATTTTCTTCTAGAATTTACTTACAAAAGGAAAGTTGAATCCCCTGCCCACCAGGTGGGCAAGTCGAATGGGAGTGGGCCAGAGAAGCAGGCTCATTCCTCATCCAAGATGCACACTCCATATATATCTGTGGGCAGCACTTGACTGTACAACCTGGCCACTGAGACACACTAGAGACATCTGTCACACATTGCCCAAAGAACTCTGTGACTGCTCACCAGTATAGCCCCAGCCACCAGCAATGGGGCTGAGTTTCGCCTAGACCAGCAGAGTGGTCCAAACGTGGTCTGGTAGCCATCGGCCATCCTTCAACCTGCCAGGAGCCTTGGCAGTTTGGGGCAATGGATTCAGTGACAGAGTGGCAGACCCACCTAAGAAACGTCTCAGACACAGAAGACTCACCTGAGTGTTGTCATGTGGCCTACATCTTCCTCCCAACAAGTGACTCTGGAATAAGAGAGATCAGTTTGGTGGCTTCTACTTTGGGCAACTAGAGTAAGAAATTTGCCCACAGGTTCTGGCATCACTTCCTGCAGCCACAGCTAAAAGCATAGACCTGGAGAAAAACTGTGTTCCACCAGTGGCTTGCATACCATACCATAGAAGCTGGTTGTACCAGGTCTGTTCCAGGATTGGGAGTAGCCACACCTAGAGGGGCTATAAAGCAAGGGTTTGGAGGGCAAGAGACCATTCTGATTGGCCCATGTGGCACAGAAGTAGCTGATCACCCTGTGGTTGGGCTGTTGCTTCAGGCAGCCTCCTTTAGGAGAATCAGCTGGTGAGAGCTGGCAAGGAAGCTAGCCACACTGGGGCTGTGGCCCAAGTTTCCAGTTGTGCCCAGAGGGGTACTGGAGGGACTGCACAGCAAGTGTGCCCTTATGGCAGCCTAGCAAGGGAGATGGGGCTTTCCAGGAGGCACAGCCCAGAAGGGCTCCCAGCCCCATCCTGGAAAGCAAGGTCTAGCATTGACCTCCATGACGTTGGCCAGAAAGGCCTCTTAAATGCCCCCAGGCCACCACAGTGGCCCTGTGGGGCGTCTCCATCCTGACCTCCAGGCTGGAGAGAAGCCAACAGCAACTGTTACATAGCAATTCCTTTTGCTCTGTGGGCTCAGTTCTTGCAGTTTCTTGTGAATCTGTCTGAAACCACTTCTCTCTATGATTAGTTTTCTCATTTTGAGCTGTACACGGTTTGTACAACTGTCATTGTGTAAGGAATGCTGACATCTATAAGGGACTCTGGCACCTTCACCTTGAAGGACTGCTGTTTCTTGCTCATTTGCTCATCATTTGTCAAGACTGACAAAAGATCCCACTGAAGGTGAGACCAACACTAACTCGAAAGATAGCAGAGTGCTCACTGCGCACAGCCAGGGCATGGCATCTCTTCACATTCCTTCCTGACCTCCCTTACTTTTTTTGTAGTTTGAGTTCTATAATTTTTTTTCTCGAACAAATACTTTTTTAGAGTTAACACTAAAGATCGTGTCTTTTTCATCACTGTTACCAGATCAGCTTTTAAATGGTGTTGGCAGTGAAATCCTCACTCTCTGCAAACGCAATGTCTGTGGCTTTAACATGTGTCCCATAGTTTCAGTAAATGCATCCTTCGCCTCGGGTACCATGGAGGTGGACTTCCTTGGATCTTCTAGGTATACTGCTATTTCCAGTGCAGACGTGAGCAAGCTCCCTGCAGTGTGTGCTTGTCTATGCATTTGTGTATCTACCTCATGGCATTTTTCTTTCTAACCACATGTATTCTTGCAAGGGAAAGGGAGAGCAACTAGATTACATAGAATTCTGGCTCTCTGTAGAGATACATCCTTTTACCATATTAAGACAGAAACCTTCTGTGGCTTTTATTGGTTTGGGATACTTGCTGAAAATGTCCAAAAACAGCAACTGTTTACTATTTTTTTTGCTGCTTATTACTATTAACTACACCAATTAGTTATATCATACCTACTCTTCTTGAATTTCCAGAATAACCCTACCAGATCATAGTGGCCACCATTCTCCCATAGTATTGCATTCTGTGTGCTTGATTTTGTGCTTGAAGTGGCATGGCACCTGGCCTACCTACAGCCCTGGGCTGTGACCTCTGTGTGCCATGTGACCCATGTGTGCCACATGATTTGCCGCCTCCTTCTAGGCCAGATTGATTAAACCAGATCCAGACATCTGACTCAGACACCGACCACTGGTCAGACTTGGCTAGAGAAGATGGACTTGGGTTTTAGGTCTATGAAATGCAAAAGAGGAAACTGAACCTGCTGGCTAGTGTTAGACCATAGAGAAAACCACAAGGTATTTTGAGGAGCTGCCCCTGTGGGTGGAACCAAGTTGGAGGTTTTTGTGCTCCTGTTGGGCTGTCCAGAGTTACTGGAATCCCAGCACTCTGAAGGAGGTCTCGGTACATTATGTTCCTGGATGTTGTCAGTTGCCCTCATCCGTCCATGTATGTCCCCAGCTTAGTCTCCTTTCCCTTTGACTCAGGCCGGCTTGAGTGGGTCTCTGCCTTCTGCAATTTGTCAAAAATCAATTGCATTCGACAACTGTGCTGCTACCGGGGAAGAATCGCATAGGTGGCTTTCCTCGAGTTCTACCCACCCAGAATTCCTGGCCTACGTCCCAGCTGATTGACATGAACACCTGTCTAAATGTGGTCTGTGTTCTGTTGGATAAGATGGGGGAAATCATCTATGCCTTCTAGTCTCGGGGGCTTTACTATGATCTTTCTAAGTGGTGTCCTTTTTCTGAGTGGCATTTGGCTCATAAGAAAATGAGCTTATCACCGTCCATTCTGCTCTATTTTGGAAGTGTTTTACTTTCTCCAGCAAACCCGCCAGATTAGTAAACTAATGATGTCTCTATCCTTAGCGTGCTTACATTCTGTAGTTCTCGTTGCGTTGGTTTCGGTGTTTACTTTAAAAAACAGAAATGGTCTCTTTGACCTTGACTCTCAATGCTACTTGCATATCTCTGAGAATAGTTGCCACGTCCTGCCCTAGTTTGTATTCAGTTTTGTCACTCTTGTCCCTCCCCAGACTCATTACCTTGTCTGTTTCATGGCACTCACTATAATCAGCCTTGCACTAGAGCTGTTTGCAGACTTGGCTTCTCCCCCCTCCCTTTTCCAAGTCCTCCCCAACTTACTAGATTGTGAGCTCTTAGAAGACAGGGGTGGCCCTTCATGTCTAATCCCCCACCAAATCTAGCACAGTGCCTTGCATCTAGTAGATTTCAATAAATATATGTTAAATGGCATTGGTCTTTCCTGACTCATTTTTTTCCAAGCTTCGTTTATCACCTCTTCCCTTTCTCCACATCATGGGATGGTCCAGGTGGGGAGCCACCTGCCTAGTATATAGTTCAAGTGCTAGTTTGGTCCCTGCTAGGATTGGTGATCTCTGTACTTACTGGACACCTGGCCGTGGCAGTAGAGGGGGGGGTTGCCTACAGCCTTGGGTGGCTCTTGACAAAAGCAGCCTTTCCTTCAGCAGTATTCTTCTTCCCCTTTAGCTCAGGCTCATCCAGGTCTGAATCCCAAATGGAAGTGCCACATATAGCCAGACTTTGACTTGCTCACTTAGGGACTGGAAATGGAGTGACAAGTGGCTTCTGATACATAAGAATATGCCCAGATGTCTAGGCCGAGGAGGGGTGGTAGTGGGAAATCAGTCCTTTTGGTAGCCAGTGGCTGACCATCTCTCTGGCAGACATTGCCTCAGGAAAAGAGATCAAGCCCCTAAGTTTCCTTACCCCTTCAAATACAAACAGGGCTCAGATGTGAGCCATCTGCCCAGTTGGGAGAAGGGTAAGCACAGACTGGGCCCCAGGATAGGAGACCCCATGGAGAGCAGGATTCTAGAAGTATGACTCCCCAACCAACTATCTTCCTCAATTCTAGTGGGGACCCTGGCAGGGCCCAGTCATCTTTCCTCTAGGATCCCATCACCACAGCCATCAATTCTTGTACCTACCTGCCAGGCAGCTGCTTCCCAGTGCATCTGCCCCAGCCAAGCTATCTCTTCTTGCAAGCCAGTTATTAGGGATGAACTCATCATGTGCTTTCCTGGTTTCATGTGTTACTTATACTACCTTCTGTTTTCCCCTAAAATGTGTGCAGGCACTGTTCTACCAAGCTTGAGCTGGCTTAAGTCAAAGCCACAGGACATTTGGACAGCTAAGGTTAGGCCTGTAGGGGGAGCAGAGCCTAGGACTCCTCCTAGTGCTTCTGCCTTACTGAGCTCAGTAGCTTCCCCATCACCACCTTCTACAGAGCGAAAGAGAAGGCATCAGGTGAAACAAGGGTGTGCTTTTTGACTCTCCCGTTTGGTAGAACATTCAAACATGCAGATTTCTTGAAGGTATCATGTGAGGGCTCTTAAGTAGCCTTCTGCTTGCCATGTCTTCCCATCACACTTGTACCTGGAGGCCCACCCAGGAGAGAC